TTACATTCAGATATTTCACGTTTCAGTTGTTGGACGCGAGGTCTGTTCACAACCGAAAAACATGCCTTCAGTTCGTCCCATAGATCAGATGCAGACTCGCCCGTAGAGATCGTGGATCGCAACGATGGTTCAATCGTGTTGCGTATCCATGACACTATAAGCGAATGATTGGTCCACCAATCATCCAAGTCGTCCGAGTCTGGATCCGGCTGCGTTATTGATCGATCAACAAATCCAAATTTCTTGCGAGCCCGTAAGGCAAGGCGCAAGGATTTGGACCATTCGTCATAGTTTGGTCCCTTAAGAACAACCTGGGTTAAAAGCATACCCGGATTGTCGCTGGGTGAGAGATCATAGGGCGATATGCGACGACGTCTTTGCACCATGTCGTCATCGTTCTCGTCCACATGATTCTTCGGTGATGCTTTCAGATCCTTTGGGGTTGCCTCGCCTGCCATGCTTGCTGTTCGCCGGAGGGAGATCGTTCACCGTCAAAGGAAAAAAAAATGAAGTAGTTCGTATGATGCTGGATGGTAACGTGCGGCTGTAGCACACGAAGGAATATGTATTTTAGGTTTGCTCTGATACCATGTTACGTAGTAGTGTTTCTGGGCTGAAAAACTATTGTATTCTCTCTTGGTTATTTACAATACAATGGGGAGTATATATATACAGCAAGGTATTCCTAATAGGATTAGAAATGCTAAATAAAAGGAAGCTACCATATACAAGTCTAATACAAATCAAAGACTAATATTCTAATATTCCTTTTCCTTCTTTAACAGATACTATAATTATATACGGAGTAGCAATTATTAATGACAAAAATAAATGAAATAAACAGGTGGATGGGTGGGATACTTCTCATACGACACCGTTCGTTACGTGGAGAAGAAGAGGTTGCCATTTTCAAAGGCACCGCCAGACGACAGGAACCTCCCTGATATTCATTTGGGACTTTATGACGACGTGATCGTTTTTGACCACGTAGATAAGGTATTTTATTTTAAATCACTTATTCTTTTATTTTTTATTGAAATAATAGAAGTGAGAATTTATTTCAAGACGGCGGATAATAAAGAAAAAATGTACTCCCTCCGTCTTAAAATTAACTTCCCAGTTTATAGTCAAACTTTCTAAACTTTGACCGTATATTACGGAACAAATACATTGAATTTTCATGTAAATTTACTAACAATAGATTCATTTTGAAACATAGTTTTGAAATATATAATTTTTATACAATATATTTATATAAAAATTGAGATATTGATGGTCAAAGTGTCGCATTGGTTACCGTGAAAAGTCAAATGGGAAGTTAATTTTAGGACGGAGGGAGTACTATCTGACTATATGTAGAAGGTGTTTCTCTCTGCTGCCGTGCTTGTGCTTATTAATTTATTACTAGGGGAAGGTTCAAATGACATTGAACCTTAATGTCATAAGATGACCCGGGGCTGCTCCGGTGCCCCGTTCGTAAAATTGACGGTTCCTACCCCCCCTAACCCCCCGGTAAACCCCCCACCCCGGCCCCAACCCGAACACACCCCCCCACCCCCTTCAATTGCACCCCACAAGTTGATCTAATAAGTTGTTTATAAGTTAAATATTCTTTAGTGAAAGAAAAATAATGATTTAAATGACAGATAAATTATTCATAAATATTCATAAATAGTGAGAGACAATTTTGTAAATAATCGATCTGGTCTAAATGAAGAAACGAAAAAAATTGAAATAAAATTTTAAACTTTTTAAATTTAAAGACTGGCATATAAATTAAAAATAAATCTTATATTTATAAATATTACGTCAAAAGTTTTACAAAATAAAATGTGACAAGAATATTGCAAAAAACAAACAAAAATTTCTGTAACTTTTAAATAGTGAAGAATGTCATTCTTTTTGGAATGTGGAGAGTATTACAAACATCAATATAAGGTTTATATTTTTATTTGAAATAAACATTGTATTATTAAAATTATTCTGATCACAATTTAGTATTATTGTTGTTATTGTAGACGGCACATATTATCCATTGGGTGCGGTTGGATCGTTACTCGTCGGCCTCAAAGGCTTATCGTGAGGGCAAGAAACGACTAGACACACTTGTCTCCAAACTACAAGACACTAACTTGTAAGAAATTAGAAATTCCTTCTTTCTAAGTGTTTAAAAAATAACGTTAAAAACCAATAAATTAAGTTTATAAAATTCTCTCTGTTTCTTTAAAATGAAATTTAATAAAATTTCTCTTTTCATATATAAAGTCCGAGACTCACAATGGCCTCGGTGGATTTCGACACTCGTGAGTTCGGACCCTCGCTGACCAATGGGAGCATGACACGTGGAGAGTACAAGGATGCTGTCCTACAAGCTAAGGAACACATCCTTGCAGGGGACATTTTTCAGATTGTTTTGAGCCAACGTTTTGAGAGGAGGACATTTGCTGACCCCTTTGAGGTTTATAGGGCACTAAGGGTTGTGAACCCAAGCCCTTACATGACCTACATGCAGGCCAGAGGGTGCATTTTGGTTGCTTCCAGCCCAGAAATTCTAACCAGGGTTAAAAAGGTTTGATTATTATTTGATCACTCCCTGTTTTATAAGAGCCTTATGTTATTCACTTTAATTTTAACTGAAAACTAGAGTTTTAATTCTCATAACTAGAGTCTAAAGATTAGGAACTAGAATCTGGAACCTAGTATTGGAATCTGGTAATTAACTTGAATAATTGGAATAAAGAGTCAAAAAGAACAATATGAATCTTGTCACAGGCACAAGAATCTGATAGTGAACTTCCATGTTTAACAGAATAGACAGGTGGTGAACCGGCCATTGGCGGGGACGTCTAAACGAGGGAAGACCCATGAAGAGGATATAATGTTAGAGATGTTACTGTTGAACGATGAAAAAGAACGCGCAGAACATACCATGCTTGTGGATTTAGGGCGAAACGATGTTGGAAAGGTTTGTATCTTCAACATCCCAAAACAAAAAGAACAGACAACAAAAAAGATTTCTCATGTCTTAACTTTGATGCAATAAATGTAGGTGTCAAAACCTGGTTCAGTGAATGTGGAGAGGGTTATGGATATTGAACGATATTCGCACGTAATGCACATTAGCTCAACGGTGAGTATATCATGTACTAAATGTTGGGTTAAAGAATTTCTGAAACAGACATCTAGCAGCACATTGCCAAAACATGACCATAAATATGTGCACAATTTTTTTTTGGGCAGGTTACAGGGGAGCTTCTTGATCATTTGACTTGTTGGGATGCATTGCGTGCGGCGTTGCCCGTTGGGACAGTGAGTGGGGCACCAAAGGTCTAAACTCTTACAGTCTTAACCTATTTTTTATACCTCAGAAGAACATTGAATCCAAGAAAAACAGAGAAGACGAAACATGTTTGTGAAAATAAATAAAAAAACACATTTAGATAAAATGGAAGATAAAGCATCACCCAGTTGCATGCGCCCTAACATCAAATCAAACAATACAGGTGAAAGCGATGGAGCTAATTGATCGACTCGAAGCAACTAGAAGGGGACCTTATAGCGGTGGATTTGGGGGCATTTCGTTCTTAGGAGAGATGGACATTGCATTGGCTCTGAGGACAATTGTGTTCCCTAATAATGGCAGGTCCCACAACGATACGTATGGTAGATCTCAAGAATGGATTGCCCATCTCCAAGCCGGAGCCGGTATTGTAGCTGATAGCAACCCTGATAGTGAGCACAAAGAATGTGAAAACAAGGTTGCTGGTCTTAGCCGCGCCATTGACTTGGCAGAAACGGCTTTTGTAAAGACAAAACCAAAGATGTCGCCAGTCCATTTATACACTCCGCCACTGAATCATCGGCAAAGGACAACATCAATGTTTCTTTGAACACAAGTGGCAACTTGTGTCATTTATCCATACTATGCAAGGATAATATGGTGTCGTTTGAATCTCTTTTCCACTTTCCTACGTACCTAAAGTCGGTTGTGCAGCTTGGTTTCACATGGTTCATGGGTAAATATAGGTCATGTAAAATGTAACAAATTCATTATTGTAAATTCAAAAATGGTATACATTATTCAATATGTGAACATTATTTATTAAAGAAATGATAATACAATACTTTACCAGTTTACCATCTTACCATTTGTGTTTGATGTTCAATGGTTAAAGTGACTTTTCCATCTACTCTGCCGTATTACCTAATGGTGATTATGGGACTTGAAAAAGTTTCAAAGTGAATAGAAGGCCCAATATCTTCGACCCGGTTCGAGTTGTGAATATTTTGAGTTCAAGTTAGACTCGGTTGGGGGGGGGGGATGCCTTATTTGTTCTGTTTTAGTATTTTCAAAAGAAAACTCTTGTGTTCACTTTTCACCTCGTACGTCTGGAGTCACCTAAATAGTTCCTTTGCACCTGAAACTTTGAATTCGAGTAGCTGAAGCATGGAAGTCAAGAAAGAAAGTAACCAATCTGGCACAAATAATTTTGATTCCGTGTAATGCTCATTTTTGGAGAGGTCAACTAGTCATGGTACTTTAGGGAGGAGTAATCCTCTGGTGTGAATACAATGCTTCAATGGCCATTGTTTTCACCCACAAGAAAGACACGAGCAAGAAATAACGTTGCCACTGCTTTAAGGAAAGAATTCAAGGAAAAAAGAAACTACACAATTTACTCGGCAAATGTTTGGTCTACGAATCTTTAACTATTGTTTCATAATATCCGCCCTCGGATATCCATCCACCAAGGCAACTCTAAGTGAATCAAGAATAAACTAGTCGGGCAATCCGTTACTTACACAAAGAATCTTTTGCCTAAGTTGGCACTAGATCCTAAATTTTTCATGTCCAACTAATCAAACAAGATGTTATAACAAAAAAAGCCTAAAACTTTTTGCTAAAATTCAATTCCTGCTTATCAATCTAAAGAATACCATTAATCTTGTCTGATCACGGTCACTCTTTCCACTCAATTAAAATCTTGAGAAAGTAATTCCATGAAAGTAAATCTGTTTCGATACCCCATTGGCAGTTCATTACAGTATAATTGGAGTTTAAACTGTGAATTATACTATCTTTTAGCACACATTTTGCAATCACATACATACAACTCTCACAAGAACAGAGAAACAACATCAACAACACACATTATACACAGAGAACAATAAGGACAGAAGCAATTCCAAGATCAGGAAGATCAAATATGAAGAGGAGTTTAAGAAAAAAAGGAACAATCGAAATTATTGTTGAATTGGATCATTTGGGGTTATCGTAATTGAGGATCTCGTTGTCAGTAACTGACCTGGAATGCTGAACTATGGATCGCCCGATCGAATTGATCCAATCCTCCTTCTCCTTCTCGGAATCGGCGATGAAGTACATGGTGAGGGAGCTGGTGGAGAGCTCGAAGGCGAACTGCCTGTTCACCACGTCCTCCGCGCCCTTCACGGTGAGGCAGGTGGCGACGGGGATAACGCCGCGGGGGCGCGATTCGCGGGTGATGCTGGACTCCTTGAACCAGAATAGCTTCCCCTGCTTCAGGACGAACCACCGGCGCCGCCACGTCTTGATGTATTCGCCCTGCTTCGTCAGCCACCCGGTCCGCTCGGGGTTCGACCAGTACTGGACCCCGCCGTAGTCCTCGCTCGATTCCGACGGGCCGCCGACCACCGCTTGCCACAGGCTCAACATGTCGTACGCCGCCCGAGTCCGGAATTGGAATGGGGGGATCCTACAGAGGAATTCCGAGAGATGAAGGAGGCCCAAATGCGATTAGATGAGAACGACCATGTGGCGGGCTAAATGTGAGACAGGTATGTATTCCTTTCCCCGGTTTTTGTCACTTTTGACTTTTGGAACTGAATGTGTACGCTTAAATATAGTCATGTGTGATCTTGATTGATTTTTCTTAACATATAGATTATTAATATATAATTTCTATAATTTTTTAATATACAAATTACAAAATAAAATGGATTAAAGAAGTGCATTGGATGATATGTAAAAATGAAAGTGGACAAATACTTAGGAACGGAGGGAGTATGTGGTTTTGTGAAATCATTTTATTTATAAAGTGGTATATTTTATTTTATCAAATAAATAATGAAAACATGTAAATAAACACAGGTTATCGAGAGAAGATAGAAAAAAAATTGTAATAAAAATTGGCATGGAGAAAGTATTTTTTTCCATTATACTCCCTCCGTCCCGAAAAACATGGGAGTTTTGGTTTTGGAGGGGGATTTAAGGGGAGTGTATTTTGGTATTGAATTTCCAAAAATGTCCTTTGATGTGATGGGTAAAAGTATGATTTGATGGATAGATTATTAGTAAAAAGGTATGATGTGATAGGTAGGGTATGAAAAAGTAAGGGGTAAAAGTGACTTTTTAATATGAATGAGAAGTGTTTTTTGGGACGAATGAAAAAAATGAGAAAGGTTTTCTGGGACGGAGGAAGTATATAATATTGATATATGCTCATAAATACGGAGTACTATATATACATTTTAGATAAACATAATGATTATAATGCACTCCATTATACTCCGTATAATTTTTAGTAAATATACATATATTGTGTAATGTACGTATTTTAAATATAGAGGAATTATAGAGTTACATTATCTCAAATTGTGTAACTTGGTGACACCATTTTAATTCAAGCATCATTTAAAAATTTAGTCAAAATTTTAACCCATTAAAGCAATAAAATTTATGAGGTGTGATTGTGAGGGATAGGAGGGACCTGAGGGGGTGAAATTAGAAGTGGGGGTTTATGAGAAAATTAGAAGAGATAAAATTGTCAATTTTACGAACGAGATACTATAGGTGCCCTACAGTATTTTACATTGTGTAATTCGATAAATCTTCTTAAAATAAATACTAAAATAAAAAATATGAAATAAATATTCTGTTATTTGAAATCAAATACTACATAGATGCATAGAAAATGAACTACATTTCGATATACAATATATGGACTAGCCTTTTGACCTCATTTTGATAGCATAGTTTCTTACAAATACACATAGGTAACACCACTAACACCTGATAACACTGGGGAAAAAATTATCCTAATTATGAAAAACATGTAAAATATTTTTACTCCATTATTGTTATTACTTCCATTGTTTAATCATCTTACGTTATTATATATGATCAATTTTTTTCTTACTATATTTATTTTTTTAATTTATTACTCTGTAAAATAATATAGTTATGTTCCATTTTATAAAGAAAGCAATGTAGTGTTTTTATCTAAGATGTAAAAAAGATATTTTAAATTTTATAAACCATTATTGAAATAAGTTAAATTTAAAATGAATTCAATCCATTATAGATCCTATATACGGAGTAATTCGGAATGAGACAATTAATTTGGTTGAAGACTTGAAGGTGTATTATGGTTGAAATTGAAATTTGAGAAAGGGAGGCACAAATAAAGTCACAAAATCTACAAAATTATAATTTGTGAGTTTTACTTTTTAGTTTTTGAATTTTTTAGAATCATTAAAAGCTTTTTTTGTGCTATACATTTTTTTTTTGTGGCTACACTTGTACTACTTGTGTAGTTTAGTTTAAAACAAAGAAGATGTAAATTAAAAGATTGATTTATATCATAAAATAATGGAAAATATCTTTCTTAAACATGCTTTCACTAAAATATACTCCGTAAATTCACAACTTTTGCCGAAGTATGTTTATTAAAAACATCACTTGAAATTCCAATTTCATCCCCTGACTAAAAGTACATTTCCACATTCCAGGGAGATAAAGAACTAAACATTAACACAATTTAACACTGGGAGTCCATTGGCACATTTCAGAGAGACAAAGAAGTACGGAGTAAATATTAAGATAATTTTATGTTAGCGTCAATGCAGGAAGATCTTGTAATGGAGAAGAGATCTTCGAGGATGAGCTAAAACACAGAAGCTGTAAAGCTTCTGTTACGTGACAGAGAAGTGGGGGAAGAAGAAGGATGTAGAAAAGAGTTATTTCATTACTCAACATCAATGTACAATGTATCTTGGGGTATTTAAAGGGGAGATATTTTGGAAAATATCTTCAACTACCTCTAACCACTCAACAACTTCTTAACCAACTCTCCCCTAAAAGCTCAACTGTTTCCCTACTGTAACATTCCTTCCCCCTTCAAAAGAAAAGAATCCCCTACCCCATTTACAGATTACACAGGAAACTATATACTGAAAAATTCTGGGAATTTGTCTTCCATCTCTTGAGCATTTCTCCAAGAAGCATCTTCTATATTTTGGCCCTCCCATTGCACCAAATATTGGACAGCTGCCTTGTTCCCTTGTTTCACCATTCTTCTTTCCAGTATGGCCACTGGTTTGAGAGGCATTTCCACATCCCTTCCTTGCCACCAGTCTGGAATGTGAGACTTAGTAGGAAGAACCCCTTTGAATTCCTTAAGCTGAGAGACATGGTACGTGTGGTGTATTTGAGATGTCTGGGGTAATTCCAGTTTATAAGCCACTTGCCCAACCTTGGCTTGTATCTGGAATGGCCCATAGAACTTAGGAGCCAACTTCTGATTAGGCCTGGCTTGCACAGACTGCTGTCTGTATGGCTGGAGCTTAAGCCATACCCAATCTCCTTCCTTCAATTGCCTCTCAGATCTATGTTTGTCT